TTCCTCTATTTTCTGTCATTATAGTCACTGCCTTAGTTAGAAACCTCTCCAACTGTTGATTGAATATGATAATAATCTTTAATTGGCCTTCCTGTAAAAAAACTGCTTATCTTCTATTTCTATAACCACCAGAGGAAGAAAAATGGATGTTATTTATTTACTTTGTGCCAGATATAAAAGATTTTATTTTAAAATCTTATTTATATAAGTCATAAGGCTCTATGAAAAAAGCAGACATCATTATCAATTAGGTTAAGTTTGCCCTGCATGAGACTCCTTGAGGATGGACCTATATTCATCTTATACAAGGAAGGATAAATATGCACACAATTGTGCATACATCTAAACATGTACATATAAATATCCTCATTTTTGACATGATTTTGAAAAAAATTGAACAATATAGACAAAATGAAACTGTCCTCTTTATTCTGCTGTCAAGAGAAATCGCTCCTAATAGTACTGTATTTATGCTTTCCAATATTTAAATATATATTAAAATCTACATACTTATGTATATACTGTATTTTGTATTATATTTTACATTCATTTGTAATCTATTTTTTCACTGAACTATATAATGTGAACATATTTTGGCATTGATATGTAAATTCTGTTTTTATTTTTATGAATGACACATAGTAGTCCATTGTTTGGATATAAGATAGATGATCCAGGGCCGGCCGAGTGGTGCATTGGTTATGAGCTGGCTTGGGACGCCAGAGGGCCTCGATTCAGATTCCACATATGAGGGCCAGTGACACTGCCCTCTACAGCTAAGATGCTGAACAATAGCTCAACCTAGAGCTGGGCTGCCGTGAATCGCTGGCGTCAGCATAGGCTACAGCCCCTGCTGCAGTGGGTTGCCATGGGCTACTGCGTGTAGCCAGCAGCCAGCGTGAGCAGCTGTCCAGAAGCCAGCGACTGATCTGCCTCGCTGGGGAAGAGCGCAATGATGGAGCCAACTTGGGCCAGTGAAGCAACGTCCTCCACAACTAGACTGAAGAACAAAAGGACAGCAACTTGCCTGTTCCCCTTCCCCCAATTTCCCAGCACTGTTCCCATCCCCCAATTCCCCAATAAAAATCTTTAAAAAAATAAAAAGATAGATGATCCAATTCTTTATGATGAAAATGTCCATTTTTCTAATTTTTTTGAAATAAGTAACACTTTAATGAATGTCTTTGAGTATATTATTTTCTCACTTATCTTTGCAGTGACGATGCAATTGCCAAAATAAACTTATGCACATGTAAGGTATTGATAAATATTTTTTAACAAATCACTGAAATATTGTAAAAATTGGGCAATATTTGAAATTGCCTNAAATAGATTGTAAAGCCTAAATCAAAGAGTCGACCTGAAGAGATGGGTGGGGATGAGGCTATAGAGACAAGCAGACAGGAAGCATGAAATACCTTATAGTTTATATTAAAGAGTTTGAGTTGTTTTCTAAGAGTTTGGAAAGGCATTGATATACATTAAGAGAGCAAGATTATCAGGGTTGTGTTTTGGAAGAATTCGTCTAGTGGCAGAGTAAATAAAGAATGGGGTGAGGGGTCAATAAGAAGAGAAACAAGGGGAGATTATCACTTTGTGATGGGGTGTAAATGTCTAATCATTATGTTGTTTTGTACACCTGAAACTAATATAAAAACATTAAAAAAAAAGAAGGGAGACAAAAGACTTGGAAGAGTGTGACTGTGAGACATATCTACAAGACAAGAGGGACAAAACATTTTGATTGACTGCATATGGGAGAAGAAACAAGAGGAAGTGAACCCTATGGACTAGTTCTCAGGTTTCTTCCTCAGATGATTGGTATTGAGCTGACATTGATTCTGACAGAGAAGTGGAGGAACAGATTTAGAGTCATAGTAGCCTAAGACATATTAAATGTTGGACATATTTAACTGCTAAACAGAGCAAGAGAGAGGCCTGTACTGGACCATTCTAATCCTTAAAGTTCTATGATTATAAGACGTGGAACTGTAATTAACAGTTGAGCTAATCTCAGAAAAAAAGACATTGCTTAAAAATAAAGTTTTGGGCATGGACTTATAAAGAGCAGCTGGTTAGCTGAAAAAGTATTTTTTTTTTTTTTTTTAGTCTATGAAAATTGGTTATACTTTGTACAACCATGACAATAATGACACAAGGTAAGCACAATTTGTAGTTTTAAATTTTAGTTATGGTTCTATAGTCATCCATGTATATCACATAATTTTCTAAAATGGCCAACAACACCCATTTTTCAATATACTGCACAAGTTATAGGTACAGACTGTGGTCTTAGAATAGAGCTATAATATGCTACCTTTTCTATGCATGAAGAATGAGTGTGGAAGAAGTGAACAACTTAATATTTACCATTCAAGATGGGTTTATCATTTAGGAGAAAAGGGTATAACTTAGACATAACAGGGAGACTTACCAGATTTGGGATAGGTGGCAATGACAATGTCATCTGGTTTTGCCTCAAATGCCTCCACATCATCCCAATATTTGACAAAATCTTTATACATTAGAATTCCATGGACTCTGCCAAAGTATTCAAAGTAGTCATGTTTGGAAGAATCCATCATAGAATGGTACACTAAAAGAGAAGACAAGGTTATGTTTTCCACTTTACATGCACTTTAAAATGTTTTAACATTAATAATAGATCTGGATATTAAGATTCTCGTGGCTGTCTATCATTTCTTAGCTGTTGAGCATATGGGGTAAATATATATTAAAGAAGTATATAGCATAGTCTTAGTATTTTAAGAGTTTCTAATCCTATTAAAGAGGTCAAGCTAACATATAAAAGAATAATAATGCACAAGGCATCATAAAGTAAAATATTTAAAACTGTAAAATATGTCATACATTTATATTACCATATTTATATGTATTATTTATACATAATAAATTCCACAATGAATGAAAACAATAGAGCTTTCAATTTTTCTGTCAAAATTGCTGGGCATATAAATAGAAATACAACAATATTTTGGCAAAGTATCACTTTGATTAATTATGTCTACATTACATTACAATAAAGATTGATGGTCACATTTTATAGCTATTGCCAGATCTCAAAGTCAGAGCTTCCTTAGTTCCTGAACGTCTTTCATTTAGAAAAACAATTCAAATGCTTGGTGAATGTATTTAAAAGAAGATGAAATTATGACACTGTAATGGATAGCTAAGACCAGGATTCTTGAGGGTATGGAAGTTGCCTCTGTGACCTCTGACATTATCTTAACTTTTCTCTCTCACTGAATAATCAGTAAAGTAATTGACAATCCCATTGACTGACTTGTCTGAAAATTATAAGGTTAAAGAAGACGGTTATATTTGATAATTCATCTCCTGATCCCATGACAACCTATTTCATGTTCAGGGTTAGTTGTGGAAATTTTAATTAAGCAAAATTTCTTTCATTGACTTTCAACTTTCACTAGCATTCTCCTCCCCAAATTATCCCATTTTGAGTTTGTGATAACTGCATCTCAACAAATTTGTCCTTTTTAAATTTTTATTAGTTTCAGGTATTCAAAGTTATGTAAGAGTTAAACATTTACACCCCTCACAAAGTAATAACCATCACCTCCCAATCTACTACCCCTCTGACATCTTATATAGCTGTTACAATACCATTGACTATATTCCCTATGCTGCACTTTATATCCTGTGACCATTTAATTATAGTTGACATTCAGTATTATTTTACTTCAGCTTCAGGTGTATAGCGCAGTGGTCAGGCATCTACACAGTCTATGAAGTGATCCCCCTGATAAGCCCAGTGCCCATCTGGCACCCTACATAATCTTTACAACATTATTGGTTATATTCCCCATGCTGCATTTCATATCTCTGTGATTATATTGTTACTACAGATTTGTACTTCCTAATCCCTTCACTCTCTCCCCCATCTCCACCCCCTCCCATCTAGCAACTATCAATTTTTTCTCTATATCTCTGAGTCTGTTTCTGTTTTGTTTGCTCATTTACTCTGTTCTTTAAATTTCACATATAAGTAAGATCATATAGTATTTGTCTTTCTCTGTCTGGTTTATTTAACTTAGCATAATATTCTGTAGGTCCATCCATGTTGTCGTAAATGGTAAGATTTCATTATTTTTTATGGCCAACTAATACTCCATTGTATAAATGTACCACAGTTTCTTTATCCAATTGTCTATTGATGGACATTTTGGTTTCCATGTCTTGGCTATTGTAAATAGTGCTGCAATGGGCAGAGGACATGAAGAAACATTTCTCTAAAGAAGACATACAGATGGCCAACAGACACATGAAAAGATGCTCAATGTCACTAATCATTAGAGAAATGCAAATAAAAACCACAATTTTTCCTTGTTTGACATTATGCTTTGTAGACCTCCCTTTTATTCACTCCTGCCCAAAAAGCTCCCTGGTAAGTTATTATACACTCAGACATTTGTGATGGCTGTAGCTTTTATTGTGTTATTCAGAGAGTTTGTATTATAACAGGAAATTCTTGGAAGCAATAGTCCTTTTAGCCACCTAATGTGTTTCCTTCATTAAAAATGCAATCCGGGCCGGCTGAGTGGCTCAATTGGTTAAGAGCTCGCTGAAGAGTTTGAGCTCTGAGCAACAGCTGTTCGAG